CAGGAATGCATGGAATACACCATACAGTGTGACACAATATGTTTTGAAGTATAGCCCTCTTTTGGGTGAAGTAGTTATGTCCTCAGGTGTCAAAGTTTCATCGCTTATATTCTAAGGGCCAAGCTGTATTTTACTATGTTAGATGCTGATAAAGTTTTCAGAGAAGGAAAAAAGGCCTTGCTCATGCTGTGCAGAGTGGTCGGCATCTACCAATGAAGACTTCTGTTGTTCTTGAGGGTGTTTGCAGTCCAAGCTGTATGATCATACCTAGGGCTTGTGATTAAATGCTGTAGCTGATTACAAACGGTAGTATATTGGTACTTCTGAGACTTCTTGGATCTGAGGCTACTGTTGGCAAGTTCAGTATTCTTTGTCTGGAAATTGTACGTGTTCGTCTGCCAGTACCAGTTGTGCTGTATGCTGATTCAGAAACTGAGTGTGGATTTCTTCTGTTTTTCAGTAAGAACGTTCCATTTAAAATTGTCCGTGCCTCCAACGGTGACGCCTGGGTAGAGGCTCATGGGAAACTCTATTCACCAAGCCAGATTGGTGCCTTCGTACTAATGAAGATGAAGGAAACAGCAGGTTGGTACTGGTCTTCACTGTCTGTGCACACAGGTGTGACCTTGCTGGTGGGCCATGGTAATTGGAAGTGCAGTAGCTTTAAAGGTACTTTTTTTGGTATGAGAATCCTTGTGTAGCAGCCCTTATACAGGGCAGATGGTGGAAAGGTGCAGTGATGGGCTGTTACAAAGCCTCAAGGAAGATCAGTGCCTCTGCAGTCTTGGATCTTTGGTAAGATATTTGTGCTTTACTTAAAACATATTCATATCAGAATTGAATGCAATTTGAGTTGATGCTCCATTGTAATTTAATTGAACGCACACTTACTCAGAAGGGGGAGCTCCTTTTCCTTGTAAGCTGCAGTCTTCATGCTTTCCTGGCTGCAGCTGAGAATGGGCTGCGGCAGCCACGGTTTTGAGACGCTTTGTTCTTAGCTGCTAGATACATAGCAAGAAAGGGAGTGTTTTGGGGCTTAATGAAGAGCTTTTTAGCCGGTGTTGACTTTAATCTTCACTAGGAGAAAATATCAATTGGCTTGGTGAAATTTTTCTTCTTTTCAGTTCTTAATGTAGTTTCTGTGGAAGCTGGTATAGTACATAGAGAAAATAGTAGTTGCATTCTGTAGCCTTGCGTGGTAAACATTGTGCATCCAGTGATAAGTGCTTGGAGGGCAGGACTAAAGATTGTAACTGAAGCTTCATCCACAGATTATTTTATTTCAGTGTTAGGTCCTGGACACTTGCTAAAGCTTCACCAAGGAGTAACATACAAGTATGTGATATATGAACATCTAAATATGATGAATCTGACTTAATGTGAGGATGATGTTCCTCTGCCTTGAGCAGAGGTCTGCTTCCTGAAGGTCTGTTGGCTTTTGGATTGGATGCTACGTGAATTCAGCTATGGAATGATCTGACTTTGCAAACAACTCAGAACAATGAAATGCAGTGTGTAAGTCCTGTGCAGGGCTAACACTTAGGCATAAATGCTGTGTGTGCATTCTTCATTGTATCATTACATGCACATTCTTATTTCTTAGCACATCTGAATCTGCATTTGATTACGTCAGTCTCTTTTTGAGAGAAGTTTGTGAACTTAAATTAGGGTATAACACTTACTTTTCCTGACATGCTGTCTCAGATGCCTATAAAGCTAGTACCTGTACCTGATTTGTACCATGTTACCAACAGCAGACTTCATAAACAGGATGAAAATGAGTAAGTTTTCAGAGCATTATAAGTTGAACACTCCAGTGAAATGGAAAGCAACTTCAATCTTACAGGCTAAAATAACAAGTTAAGCTCTCGGATGCATTCCCACTATTGGCATGAATTGCAGATGTGCTTTGCTGCTCTGTCCTAACTCTGCAGACTATTCCATGCGATGTGGAAAGACTTGATTTCTGCACAGATCTCTCTGCATCTTCCCAGAAAGCAGCAAGTTCTCGGGCAACAAGCCTGTCTTCTGTTCTTAGTCCAGGAAAGGTGTTTCAAACTACATAATAACAACTTGGTGGTATTCTTATCTTACATGGATGACTTTCTGTTGTGTTTCATTTTTCCCCCAGAAAATTACCTGGGACATTCAGCAAAGAATGCTGTGATCACGGTCCCTGCTTACTTCAATGATTCTCAGAGACAGGTATTCACCTTGCTGTAAGGTTTTTGGGCTTATGAATTGCCTCTAGTTTCTCTCAGTAGTCAGCACTCTTCCTCTTTTTCCTCAGGCTACAAAAGATGCTGGGCAGATTGCTGGCTTGAATGTTTTGAGGGTGATTAATGAACCAACAGCAGCTGCGCTTGCCTATGGTCTGGACAAATCTGAAGACAAAGTGTAAGTTCCTGTTCATAACACTTACCCTCTCTTAAATAAGTGTGCTGTAATTTGCTTTGTAAAGCCCTCTTCTCCTTTCTGTTTCTCAAAATCATTGGTTGGAATTCTTCCAAAGTAAACTCCCAGCTGTGAGTCAGTGCTATGTAATATCAGCTCTGTTCTGTGCCAACCATACTTGTTAAAGAAAGTGAGCTCATAACTTGCAGCTACAACTTAATTATGAAAGCTGAGTGCCTATGTAATTATCTTACCTGCAGGTAGCAGTGATAGGTGTGGCTAAGGATGGCTGGGTGAGAGGCTGTCACCATTAGTGCTGAAGTGTAGCACAAGAGGTACACTGAGGTTTGCTGCCTGGTATGCGCAGCTTGCATCTTTCCTGACTGCATTCAGCTGCCTGTCACTGTCAGGAGTGGTTACAGAAATCCAGGGGCATTGTTACAGATTTTGTAAATCTAAGGTAGCTTGTAGAGCCTCACATTTTGAAAAACATGTCTCATCATGGTTCTGGTGTCCCTGCCCTTGTCATTTGGTGTAAATGTATATTTATTTGAAGAAGGAACTGCCCTCTTTGAAATAATGAGCAAGGTTAAGCGTCATGCAGCACATCTTTCAGAGGAGACTTCCACGTGAACTGAGCGTGCTCAAGGAATGTATATGTGGTCTAATTTGCTTACTGCTGCTTTAGAGAGGCTTTCAGCTTTTGTGGACAGTGACATGAATTCTGCAGACGTGATCGCCTAAGGGGAGCTATTTTTGAGCCACATAACTTTGTCTAGAAAGTAATGTTTTTCTACATCTGTTCTCCTGCAGTATTGCAGTCTACGATTTGGGTGGTGGCACTTTTGACATTTCCATTTTGGAAATCCAGAAGGGAGTTTTTGAGGTGAAGTCCACCAATGGTGACACTTTCTTAGGTGGAGAAGATTTTGACCAAGCTTTGCTACAGTATATTGTGAAAGAGTTCAAGAGAGAGGTAAAGTATCTCATCAGAATTTGATTTTGTATTACACTGGCTTTCAACCTTCTATGGAAGGATGGGAATTTTCTTAAGTTATTATGACTTGATTTGTAATCTAAGCCACATTTGAAATTTAAGAGTATTCAAGACACCTATTAATATGGCTTCCAGTTCTTACACTTGCTTTCTTGAGGTGGAATATTCCTCTCCTGGAAGACAAAATAGCAGGACTCCTGCCTTTTTTTCCTCTAGCTGTAGCAGGACTATACTATACATAGTCTGCTTACTTTTAATAATAAAAATCTGTGGTCCAATTGAACGTGTCAGCACGGATGCATACAATACAGGGGTGGCTGTAGGAAACTGCAGCATAATTTCAACTACATTGTTAATTCAGTTTTGCCTTTATAGCAGCACCTTTTCCAAGCTTTAATCTGTAACTTGTACTGTATAATCACTTCCAAAGCAGAGAGGGCTAGCAGATGTTTTTGAAATACTAAATACATTTGCCAGAAGTAAGAGAGATCAGCAGAAGTGCACGTATCAGGCTGCGTTTCTGTGAACATCTTTGCAGTCAAGGTGATAGGAAGGTGAACTGCAATGAAGAAAAGCTGTCCGTGACTCCTCCACAAATGCAGAGTCTGTTAACCCATTTTGTTTGTCACTTAGATGGGTGTTGACCTGACTAAAGACAACATGGCCCTTCAGAGGGTGAGAGAAGCATCAGAAAAAGCAAAGTGTGAGCTTTCATCATCTGTGCAGGTAAGTGACTGAGTTCAAAGCAGTCCAGTAAAACATCTTGATACACCAAATCTTGCATTATTTTTGTTTACAGAGCTCTATGAAATTGTTGCTTTTTTTCTTTTGAGGGCAGAACAAGCTTCTGTGTAACCAGAAAGCCCTTTGGCAGGGTAGGCTGTTGACAAGAACAGTTAGTTGTTGGAAATGAAGAATATAAGCGGTTGCTGGGTTTTGCTTTTCTTCTGGCACCGTGTTTTCCCGTGTTGCAGGGAATGTGACCTTGTTTCCAACTTCCTATGTGTTTCAGAAGTATGATGAGCGTCAGGGAATTTGGCTGCAGCCAGTACTGCTGGGTTACTGGAACCACTTGCAGCTTTGTGCAAGCAGTTTCAAGACCTTAGTGCTACTCATTCCACTGAAACAGCTAATTTGTATAATAACAATTGCTGTGAAGAATCATGACTTATTTGCCTATAGAAGGCAATGAACAACATACTTTTATTTTTTCCCACCTACTTTGTATATTAAAGCATTCAAGCATGTCGTTTATTCACTACTGAATTAGGAGCTGGAGAAGCAGCAATTGGGGAGTGTAAGAGTCTTGCCTAAGTGAAATTAAGGTCAATTATATAGTAATTGAAATGGGGTCTCTGCCAGTTTCTAGATTCTGAATAAACTTTTTTTTTAATGGTGACCTTTTTGTACAGGCCAGTGGGGAGCTCATAGCAAGGAGTTTAGGCCAGTCACAATAGATGCATAGTTCTGCCAGAGACATAGCAGGCTCTGTTTTACTAACTCAAGAGTTGACAAATACAGTCTGTTCCTACCAGGAAAAACTGAATTCGTTAACTCTTTAGCAGTGAAGGGAAAACAACCTGCTTTTGGCCCTGTTTTTTCCCTAATATCTTTGACCATGCTAATTAGAAAATGAATTCACACCTCTAGTCAGTAACATGGGTTTAGTTTGTGTTGTGTAAACTTAATCTCTAGAGCTTAAAGCATTAATGGTTTTAATGTCTTTTGATGTCAGCATGGCTCAGCACTTGAACAAGATGGTTTCGGTATAAGATTTGTTTTAAAAAATCCAGCATGTGAATTTGTAAGAGCATTCACACATAGCCATGAAAAGCGGAGATGATGGTCCCCTGGCGCTGATGAGGCTTGCTAAATGGCAGTGGACTGTCAAACATGAGTTGTTTACATTCTGAAAGCAGTCAGGAGTTATGAAATGCTACGTGAAGTGTTGGTAATTTGGCAGTCTTTCTGAACCCTGAAGATGGGTTCTCTTTTGTGTTGTTCTAAAGTTAAGAGATTAATGTCGTAACTTCTGATGTTTTGGCTCTTACCTCCTGACTGTGATAGAAATTAAATTGTTTTTCTTAATAATAAAAGACCTCAAAATAACACAATAATAAAATTGGAACTTGACAGTGAAGTGAGATGTGTAACGAAATATTTTTCCTGTCTCTTGTCTGAAATGTCAAACATACAAGTATTTAAAACTTAAAAACCTGCTGCCACTTGAAGACTGGGCTGCAGAGTGAGCAGGCATGTAGATGTTTCAGTACAGGCAGAACAGGACCTGTAACTCGATCTAAAACCTGTATGTAGCTGCCTTATGTTCTGTTCCATATCTGTTTCTGTGCTGCAGACTGACATTAACTTGCCATACCTTACTATGGATGCCTCTGGACCAAAGCACTTGAACATGAAGCTGAGTCGCTCACAATTTGAGGGCATTGTAGCTGATTTGATCAAAAGGACGGTAGCACCGTGCCAGAAAGCCATGCAGGATGCTGAAGTCAGCAAGAGTGACATCGGTGAAGTCATCCTCGTCGGTGGCATGACTAGAATGCCAAAGGTATGAGATCCGTCTCTGTTACGGGCAGAACTGGCACAGCTAGCCTGTGCTTACTGCTAAAGGTGATTGCAACAGAAAAGTTGGGAATCTGATAACTTCAGCGCTCTAGCAGCTGAATGTCCCCAGGAGCAGAGGAGATGTGCTGAGAGTAGTCACATGAAAGCAGTGGCGAGGGACTCTCTCATCATGTCTAATTAGCTCGGCTTGGATCTGGGGGCTGTAGCCATGTTGCGCTTCACAAAGACCAAGTGGGAGGTATCAGGAGTTGAAAATTCAACTTTACTTTCTGATGTGGACTGAACATAAGCAGCATTGTTTAGATAGGTGGAGTGTTTTCTCTTGTCTAAGTCTTGTTCTCTTTCTCTGAGTCTCTTACGGACTTCAGTGTGTGGCAGAAGTACACTTCAGTCTTTACCTTCCAGTGAATTTCTTCCTCTGTGTAGAGCACTTGTAGCTAGCTGTGAGAAACTGCACAAACAGAACAGCTCTGTTACCTGCCAGTTTTGTGAATTTGGCTACCTGTGTGAGGCTGGGTGTTCCAAACCCTCGTTACCCAATACCTGGCCCCTGTGTTGATAAGCACCAACAGGTAACTTAGAAGCTTGCTCTGCTGACATGCACAGTCTTACAGATAAGGTGCTGTCTGATGGTGTTTTACTATTCTTGTTTGTAGCAATGCAGGCTGCTACACAGCTTCCCTGAAGCTGAACACGTATGTACACTGTTCTCTTCAAGGGTACAGCTTTTCCTTTTCTATGGAGATCATCAAAATCTCATTCTGCAGGGATCAGTCATGCTTGGACTCTTTGCTGTTAAGATGTGATTTGCAGGTCCTTTCTAGAATAGTAGGTGTGTACGTGGCGTGTTAAGTGAGCCTGGTGGCTGGAGGTGATGCTGGCATGCGCAGAAGGTCACCCAGACAGGGGAACCAGAGCAACAAGATAAACAGAAGTTGCTGCTCTGGCCAAAGCTCGAGTGGAGTAGCTGTGCTATACCTTCCCAAAGTCTCTGCTGTTCCAGCTGGTTAAAGGAAAAATGGTGTGGTTAGCTATACATAAAATGATGAAAAACACTTTTAGAAGTAGGGAAGCCCTTCCTGAAATGTTATGTGTCCTTTGGGGATGGAAGACAATGTTTTTAAATACTGATTTTAAAGTTTTTTATTGTGTTGGTTTTTTTTGTTTTACCCCTTATTTATAACACCCAGTATCTGTGGCTTTGAGCTTACACAATGCTTTTCTGAGTGCCTGTAGTTACAGTTCTAGCTCCAGGATCAGTACCTGGATGTTGCACACAGCACAGAGCCTTCCCTATGTTGTTGTGTGTGTTCATTTCATGCTGCTAGGAGGGAGCGTGCCTTCCTTAGAGTGCTCGCTTGGCCAGTGCTCCAGGAAATGTGGAGTGGGTGGTTAGAAGTCATGTTTCTTTTGTGCTGTAAAATACGCCTCCAGAGGGAAAGACTTGCACTTAATTATATGCTCATACGTGAAGTGTCTTTGTCTGTAATGAACACTCCCAGCAGATGTCTCTTGGCTTTAGTGCAGAGGAGTGGGGCATTTGCTTACAGGACCGTTTTCCTGGCACATCCCACTCACCTCTGCTGTGGTGTGCCTAGTGGGTATACTCAGGGATGAGGGAAGCTGTGAGTGGGAGTGAAGTCCCACAACTGTCTCTTGTAAGGCAGAGGGGTGGACTGCTGAGCTGTGCTCTAGCACAGACACCTTCTTGCGTTCATATCTGGATGCTTCAGCAGTAAATCTGTTGCAATTGTGAACACATCCTTCCTAAAAGGCAGAGCAGTGAAAAGGTGATAACACAGCTCAGACTTGTCTGCTGACATAGCAAATCTACTTCTCTGGTGAAACAGCCCATTAAATAGAGAGTTTGGAAATGCTGTACTTCATACAATCAACTTTTTTTCCTTTTGCACGAACAAGATGAACCGTCCTTCTGCTCTGGATTTTTAACCTTCCCTGCGCTCTCCCTCCACAGCTGTACTGTCCTTGACAGCTATTTCTGCCCAGTGTTGCTGTGTAGAAGTTCCTGGCGAGCAGTCCTTGACTCCTGCTTGATAAGCATGCAGTGATCCCTTCTGAATGTGGCTGGGCTCTGTGAAAGGACTGATGTAGGTTGACTTGCAGCTGGCAAGAAAGTCTCCAGACAAGGGATTGTCTGGACTGAAATGAGAGCATTTAATGGTGTGTGGAAGATGGGTAATTGGGGACCAGTCACAGGCCTGAAGCTTAGTATTTGTCATGCCACAGAGTTACGTGGCAGCAGGAGCGTGAAGATGCCAGCCTTGGCTAAAAGGTGTGTGTGTTCTTGTGGCCACAGCACTGGGCAGGGATGCTTCACTCTGCATACGAGTTGTGCTTTCTTTCCATTCAGGTGCAGCAGACTGTACAGGATTTGTTTGGCCGTGCTCCTAGCAAAGCAGTTAATCCTGATGAAGCTGTCGCTATTGGTGCCGCTATTCAAGGTGGTGTGTTAGCTGGTGATGTTACTGATGTGCTGCTGCTGGATGTAACTCCCCTCTCCCTGGGGATTGAGACACTGGGAGGTGTCTTCACAAAGCTCATCAACAGGAATACTACCATACCAACTAAGAAGAGCCAGGTACAAATTAATTCTGGATGGGCGGGTCTTTAATGGTGGTTTCAAACACCCAGTGGAGGCTACTCAGAGCACCCCAGTAGATAGTCTTGTGTCCTCCTCATCTGGCAAGAAGCAGCTTAGAAATCAGATTTAGTGTCAGCCACTGAGTATCTGTTAATCATTAGTGTGCCCAAGATCAGAGGTAAGTTGAGTTAATGTGTGCCAAGATACCCCAGGGTTTGTGGCTTGGTCACGATTACAGGGTGTGTGCCATGATGTAACTGTCAACACATCATTCTGAAGAATTGTGTGGAGATCACCTGTAACTGAGCACTACACCTGTCTGAGACTACTTTTTTTTGTCTGCATGCTTAGGAAGGGATTATTTGTTTCTGGTGTTGTAGGGCCCTAGTATTCTTGGGTGTTATCCTTTCCCTTGGTTTGCCTTGTCTGGGCCTGCTAGTGTCGTCTTACTGATAGCACCTGTTCTCTCTGGGGTGTGGGGTTGGGGCAGGAGCCCGCTGCTTCAGGAGGAAGTGTTTTGGTAGTATGGCTGGCTGCCACTGGAGCCTGCTGCTGGCATGGCATTGCCAGTTTTCATGTGCTCAAGTGCACAGGACAAGACACCAGTGAGCTTGGCTGTTGCTAGTCTTAATGCCTTGGTGTTTTATCAGAGGAACAACAAGCGTTTAATGAGTCTTTCTCTTTTCAAAGTAGCTTCTCTTTATTCCGTTTTTAGTTTAGTCAGCTTGTAACTGCATCTATTCATGTGTGGCAGTTTACTAGCTATCCAGTAACTTTCTGTTCCTCTTCCACAGGTGTTTTCTACAGCTGCTGATGGACAAACTCAAGTGGAGATTAAAGTATGCCAGGGGGAGAGAGAAATGGCTAGTGACAACAAACTTCTTGGCCAGTTCACATTGGTATGTTGGCTACTCAGTATTTGTGACCTTAAACTTGACCTTCTTTGAGAAGTTCCAAGCCCTCTCCATTTCAGTTGACCTCTGAAGGCAGTGTTGAGGGGGAGTCACCTTACAGAAGACATTTGACCCTATTTGTAATAAGAAAGTAGTCTTTTAAGGCATGGCCTAGTTCTGGGGCAGTGTTTCAATGGCAGAGGAGCAACTCATATTTAAGATGAACCTCAGAGTTTCTAAGCAGTCTTAGGTGAAACTGGGGCTACTGCAGCTTTAGGGCTTGATAACCTGGAAGGGCCCTCTCCAGTTCTGGGCACACAGCTCTGTAGTACTAGCCCTGCACAGCAGATCACCCACGTGTGGGCCTTTCCTCCGGTGCTGCAAAGACAAAACTTGGAGCAGACTCCATGATACGTGCAGACCCTGGAGAACCCCATTTCTAGCCCAGGACTGCTTTTCCTTGAGAGCCTATGGAGCTGCCCTGCTTCCTGGAGAACAGATGCACTCCAGAGTTTCACGTGCACAGCACACAACTAACTAAGC